TTCCATGCTATTAGGGCTTTACCATTTTTGTTAATTTCTTATGGTTGTTGTAAGTCAGTGTTTCTCAACCTTGGCAACTTGAAGATGTCCGGACTTCAACTCCCAGAATTCCCCAGCCAGCATTCGCTGGCTGGGGAATTCTAGGAGTTGAAGTCCGGACATCTTCAAGTTGCCAAGGTTGAGAAACACTGAACTAGGGGAATAGCTGTCCAAGACACAGATTAACAGAAGCGGAAGGGACCTTGTAGGTCATCTAGTCCAACCCCATGCCCAAGCAGGCCTACCTACACCATTTCTGACAAATGGCAGTCCAGTCTCTTCTTGAAAGCTTCCAGTGATGAAGCTCCCACAACTTCCAAAGGCAACTTCTGTTCCATGGGTTGATTGTTCTCCCTGTCAGGAAATTCCTCCTCATTTCCAGGTTGAATCTCTCCTTGGTCAATTTCCATCCATTCTTCCTTCTCTGTCCTTCAGGTGCTTTGGAAGATAGCTTGATGCACCCCCCCCCTCCTCTTTGTTGCAGCCCCTCCCTCAACTTTTGGAAGATGCTCTCCTGTCCCCCCCTGGTCCTTCTCTTCACTGGACTAGCCAGGCAGAGTTCCTGCAACCGTTCCATCATGTTTTAGCCTCCAGTGCCCTAATCATCCTGCTTGCTCTTCTCTAGTCAGTGTGTGTAAAATGCTACCATTTGGCCTAGTGGTTCAGGCATCAGGCTGCCTTAGCCATGAAATCCGGCTGGGTGACCTTGGGCCAGCCCCTTTTCTTCAGCCCTACCTCGCAAGGTGGTTGTTCCTCAGAGGGTGAGGAAAATAGGTGGGGGAAAGAGCGTGGTGTTTGTTTGCTACCTTGAGTTATTTATAAAAACAATAAAGGGGGGATGGAAATAACTATGGAGGTGGAGAAGCGGTTTTTCTGCTCTCCTGGGTCACCTTGTTCTCCTCGGCCATCAGCTTCGGGCTCTCCCCAAAGGTGGCCTTGCCGAGAGACTCTCCAGACCGAGGAAAAACCCGGAGTTTGCCCCAAACTTTGCATCTTCCCAGACCCCATGTTTCAGGACAGCCCTGGGGAACTCTGGGAGTTGAAGTCCACGGGACTTAAAAGTTGCCAAGCTTGGGCACTTCTGCTTCCGCTTCCTATTTTTCCCCTCCCGTCTTATCCGCAGCAAATGCCTCCAGCTCCACCCTCAGGTAGGCTGACCCACTGACCTTCACTAGAGCGAGCCTCCCTCCCTCCCTCCCTCCCTCCCTCCCTCCCCAGGGACCCTCTGGCTGGTTTCCCTGGAGGGGGTCTCCCCCGCTGCCACCACGCAGACGCAGAAACCTTTTGAAAATATGCTTTATTCACTTCGTACCGGGCAGAATAAATTCTGCAAACTCTTTAAAAAGGGTTGACAAAAACGGGGCCGAGCCACGGAGTCCCCCACCCCACCCCAGGAATCGGACACGGCTCCTGCCTCCCGGACGGAGTCCCAGGGGCCTCTCCCCCAAAGGGCCCCATGGCTGTGCAGAGCTCGGCCCCAGTTGCGTCAGGACGGAGGGGCAAAGAGGAGCCTGGTCCTGGGAAAGGCCGGCCCGAGAAAGACGGCAGAGCGGAGGGAGGGGGCTGCTCTCACCCGCTGATGGGGCTGGCGAGGCCCCCAAATGAACCTGAGTCCTTCTAAAGTGCCAGGGAGGCAGCCCCCTTTGCCCGCCCGTCTTGAGTGGCCCGGCTTCCCTCTGCCCTGCCAGGCACGCTTGGCATCAGTCCTCTATTGCACAGATGGAAGGCAACGGCTCAAGGGACCAAATCCTGCCAGAGGACCAGCTAAAAACTCGGGCACCAGGAAGGTTATTGCATCGATCCAATATGTTCGGACTCAAGAGTAACGGATAGGCAACCACCACGCGCACGCACACGCACACACACGCACACAGACAAGATAACACACGTGAGGCTGCCTCCCCACACAGACACACACACACTCCGGAGGAGAATCGCCTTCGTTCCCTGGGCTGGTGCCCTCAATGGATCTGGGCCTCCAGGGAGGCAGCAGAAAAGGCCGGAGGGAGGAGGCTGCCCCCCCCCAACTGATCCTCAGGAGGGAGAGGCAGGACGGAGAGTCTCTCTCACTGGCTCCCTTCGTAATTCAGCACGTAGTAGTCGTGGACGTACATGAGGACGGCGATCGGCTGACCGATGATCAAGGACATCCACACCGCTGCGTTCCCGTAGTTGCCCCGGAGAAAGCGGCTCACGAACCAGGCCAGGGGGATCTGGGGACGGGGAAGAGACCAGTTGCAGGAGGAGGGGGGGGGAGAGCAGGAGGACAGGGACAGGGGTGGGCTGGGGGTCGGGGAGGCAACAGCCCTGAGGTTTGTCCAAAGCAGAGATCTCCAACCTGGGCAACTGTAAACCTGGCGGACTTCAACTCCCAGAATTCGAAGTCCGCCAGGCTTAAAGTTGCCCAGGTTGGAGACCCCTGGTGGCAAGGCTCTCAGGCCAGCTGGAAAGGCAGCCCAGGCCCCTTCCGTGGGGGGAAACCCACAGCCTCCTGGGCTTTCTGATCTCACCTGAGCCATCATGCCCATGAACGCCCACAGCCGGAACATCTTCAAGGGGACGCTCACCAGGTACTGCCGGGGGGGGGGAAGAGAAATGGGGAAATCAGCTCCAACGCAAAGGGGGCACCAAGACCGCCGCTCTCTCTCGTGG